CTCACACACACACACACACACACACACACACACACACACACACACCGCCTTCAAAAAATAAGTAAAACTACTCCAGATGACAGTCATTCATCTTAAAGTTGTGGAGGGGGCACACACTACTCAAAAGGGAAGCTTCCTCAGTGTAGCCAAGAGTCGTCTTATGTGTGCTGTGGGCACTGAAGATCAGGAGCCGACCTTGGTGGCACAGTGCTCAACTAAAGAGCGTGCTCATGTTGATGGAGGTGTGGAGTGCACCACAGTGCTCTGACAGGATGCTTTATTTAGTATTTTTAAGGTTCATGTGAATCAGTGGGGGGTTCTGGTTTTAAATTGCAGGTATTTTTGGAAAAAAGGGGGGGTAAGGAGCAAGTGGGGGAGAAGGAAAAAGAGATAAAAGAAAGGAAAATGGGTAAGGATACAGTTAAAGCACAATATACACAGGTATGAAGATGTCACAGCTGGCCAGCAAGACGGCCTAGGGATAAAGGCACTTACATCAAAGCCTGATGACCAGGTTTCAACCCCTAGAACTCACATAGAGGTAACGAATGACTCCACAGTGCTGTGGGAACTCCTTTAGCCAATAGCCTTTAAGATACTGGCCCACTCTGGGTGTGGCCACATGTGCTATATAAACAGATGTTTTTAGATTTTTAAAACGTTTATGTTCTGAGGCTGGAGAGACAGCTCGGCAATTAAGAATATTTGTTGCTCTTCCAGAGGGCACAGATTCGATTCCCAGCATCCACAAAGTGGCTCACAGCCATCTATACCTCCAGTTCCATGGGATCCAACACCTTCTTCTGTACTCTGTGGTACCAGGGAAACACATGGTGCACAGACATACCTGCAAGGCATCTGGGCACATAAAATTTAAGAAAGGTTTTTAAAAAAAAACATATGTGCATCTGTGTGCGCCTACATAAGTTTATGTGCACTACATGAGTGCTGATACCCAAGGAGGCAAGAGGGCATCACACACCCCGGGAATCGAAATCACAGTTTGCACCATGTGGGTGTCCTGAGATCCAAATCGAGATCTTCTGCAAGAGCAGTAAGTGCTCTTAATTGCTGAACCATCTCTCCAGTTCCTGGCTTGTTTTTTCCCCCCACAGGCTCTCTCACTGAGACGAAGGACTCATCAGTCAGGCTTAGCTGGCTGTACAGCAAGTCCTGGAGATCCACTTGTCTCTGTCCCCAAACAGTGCTGTCACAAGCATTTACCACCACACCCAGGTTTCTCAGTAGACCCCAGTGATCACATTCAAGTCCTCGGCTTTACCAAATGAGTTCTCTCTCCAGCGCCCACCTCCCACGCAGCACACTTCTTAACACACTCACACAAAGATGTCTCACCCAATGAGAGGCAGCAAAAACCAGATTCAGGGCTCCCTTTCCTCCGGAAGTCTGTTGGCTTTCCCTGTCTCTTCTTGGACTGCTGGCAGGAAGTTCACACTAAGGAATGTGTTCTCTCTAACTGCTCAAAAGATGAGATTTGTCCAAGCAGCTCCGGGTAGGCAATAATCTCGTGAGACTGAAAACGGGTTAGGCTGTGAGTCTACATCTGATGATGTTTCAAGTGAGGAGCTTACGGTGCCCGCTCACCCCCTGAATGTGGGGAAAGGAGCAAAATGAGAGCCCGGGCAAAGGTCAAGCGTGCCATTTAGTGCTAATTAGTGTATGTTTGCAAAAGGGTTGCACCCCAGTGTTGACTTTCAGCTTTATCCTGTCTGAATAACAGATCTAATAAGCACTATTGGAAAATAAGCCTGTGTCGGGAGTCAATGTGAGGTTCGTTGCTGCAGAAAAGATCTGAGAAACTCATTCGTGTTTGCACCTATTCTCTAGAGCAGAAGGAAACACTGCCTTAAGATTTTGCCCACATCCTGACAGTACAACATTCCAATAATCAATCATCAATCAAACAATATCTCTGTCTCTTTCGCTCTGCCCCACGCCAGCTGATAACACATGGATATCAGACAATTTTATTTATCGCACCAAAATAATTTAATTATTGTATTGAGGACCAAAAATCTAAATGTCACTTTCTAACCAATGTTGATGTCAGAAGCGTTGTTTGTTTTAGGCAGGGTCTTGCATGGCCCCAAACTCGTAATCCTCCTGCATCTGCTCCCTGTGTGCTGGTAGTTCAGATGCGGCACGACATCTGGCTTCACAACTGTTGACCCTTCGTTAACTGTGGGTAGAACTGAGACATCCTAGAGTGATGATATGTAGCAACAGCTTTCTGTGTTTCTGTGTTTTCATTTTATGCTTCTGGGTGCTTTGACTATGTGTAAGTCTGGACATCACATCTCTGCAGTGTTAAGGCGACATGAGTTCCGCTGGGGCTGGAGTTGCAGACAGCTGTGAAACACCATGGTGGTTGCTGGGAATTGAACCTGGGTCCTCTGGAAGAGCAGCCAGTGCTCTTAGCCAGCTCTCCAGCCCTAGTGTAACATTCTTAATCATTCCAGGAATTTCACATTAACAGATCTCCACAGTGCACTGCTCTTGTGTGCCTAAGCATAATACACAGAATATACGTTCTTTTTTATTTGCCCAAAGTACACTCTTGTGTGGTGAGACACATTCCTACTAACCCTAATCAGTCTGTGTCAGCTGGGTCGAGGTGAGGTTCCTCCTCACCGCCAAATTTTACATATAGGACACAGGTGTGGCAATGAACATCTGCCTTTGGATACGATCGATTCATGCATGAAGCAGGACCTAAGCTAGGTACACTAGTCATCCGTGGGGATCTATGAGGCTCCCAGTCCTTTCTCTTCTGTAATGAATCATAGCAACTATCAATGTACAACAGAGCTGCTAGGCTCTGCTTTTTCCAGCACATGCAGAGAGCTCGTCACAAAATGAGGTCACCTCAGAGGAATGCAGAGACCAGATGTGGAACTAAGAGGAAGAAAACACACATACACAGAGAGAGAATAAGGCTGGTAATGGCATTGAACCGCTGGGTCTAGCAACGTCAGACCTTTCCCTGCATGACAAGCATGCATTCATTAATATTTATTTATCTATGTTCTGCTCAGAGGATGTTGAGCTGATCTGTTGACAGTCATCTTATCCATCTTTCATGGAAGACTTTCCCAAACAAAGCACATACCACTGTGAGCATGAACTGTTTCCAGTGAGGTTGGGTGATGTGAAGTGAGTGTGGGACTTGAACAGGACACTTGCTGCTGAGACACATGGTTTCAACGCATGGGAGAGAGGTCACGGAAATCAGCAGAGATCAGCATCCGAATTGAACAACAGCATTGATCTTTATGGCCACACACCTGTTAGTTCCTACCTTGCTACTACACAATTATTCAAAATATATATATTAAAAAAACCCAACCTACAGTCTCTTATTCTGATCTTTAGAAAAGAGACAGAGAGAATTGTCCTTCCCCTTTCCTGATCACAGAAGTTATCCTAAAAATTTCTGGGACCTGACAAATTTAGGGAGGCAGGAAGTAAGGCACCCTGAGTAATGCTCCAACTTTCCCAGGACCAAAGGGAAGACTGACAACTCAAGAGACAACTAAGTCTTTCTTTTGTGACAAGACTTCATTGCCACTGCTGTGATCCTTAGCTGAACTGACACTTTGGGAGGGCCTAGGTCAAGACTCCTTACAGCTCAGGACCAACCCCAGCACCCTGTGGCCCCCTCTCTATGACACCGGCTTGATGAAGCCGTAATCCATGCACTTGATGAGACATTCCCGGGCTGTCTGAACCACAGTCGCCCTCTTCTCATCCGGCTCCTGCTTTCCCACCACAGTCAGGATCTCCAGCAGCTCGCTCTCCACCAGCTTCTTGGCCAGCTCAGCGTCCGCTGACAACAGGTTGTAGGCAATGACCAGGCCCCGGTGCTGCACTGACAACTGGTCGTGCAGGCAAAGCCGCTGCAGGATCTCCAGCCACTGGGTTGTCTGCAGAATGGAAGGATTCAAGAAATCAGTGAAGAGGCAGAAAGAAGGCTTGACAACAAGAGAAACAGAAAGTATCAGTCATACCCACAGCTAAATAACTTGACTATGACCACATATCAGTAAACAGTAATAAACTAAAATGGGCACGCACGCACACACACATAGATAGATATACTGCCTGTGTTTGTATGTGTGGCATGCATGTATGTATGCATGTTCATAGGTACACATACATGCGGGAGCACAGGCATATGCTTGTGAATGTGTCGAGACTGAAATTGGTGTCAGCTGTCCTCTTCAGTCACACTCCACTTTCTTTGTTTGTTTTGTTATTCAAAACAGAGTTTCTCTGTGTTACCACCAACTGTCCTGGAACTAGCTCTGTAGACCAGGCTGGCCTCAAACTCACAGAGATCCGCCTGCCTCTGCCTCCCAAGGACTGAGATTAAAGGTGTGCACCACCACCACCCTGCTTGCAGCCCGCTTTTATTTGGAAAGGCAGCATTCTCAACTGAACCCCATGCTCACTGATCAGCTGTATCAGCTGGTCGGTTTGTCCCTGGAAAGCTGAGGTTACAGGCATCCACCATGCTTGCCTGGTTTTTACATGGTTGCTAGGGATCCGAACCCTGGTCCTCACGCTTGCACAGCAAAGACTTTATCCACTGAGCTGTCTCCCCAGTTCCCGTCCACTTATTTTTTAAACGTCTTAAGAAGCAGAAGAACAGGCCCGCTGACATCTCGGCAGAATGAAGCTACAGAAAGTCAAGGAAAGGGAGTCCTTATGAGGGGAACATGGAGAATGCTCGCTTCTATCAAGCCAGGTGCCCTTTGAGACAAGGGCTCCAGGTATGTCCTCCAGCCTTGCTTTCGACTGGAATAAGCAAAGAATCCGAGGCGCATTCTCCCATTCCTTCTCCATCCACCATGCACGATCATGAGGACAGTCAACTGCTGTGGACCAGTGCTCAGCCACTCTCATCACCCTGTGAGTCAGGAAGGAAGCTGACGGCACAGCCAGGAGCTGACTCCTGGCCTTGGACGGACACAGGCGAGAAGGCAGAGCAGAGCAAACATCTCTGTGAGTTTGGATTCAGAGAGAGCAGTCCTCAGGCCACATTCAGCGCTTGCTGTCTGCATGGCCTCACCTAAGTGACAAGGCAGGCCTCAAGATTCTCATCTGACTCTGCTGTGCTGCAAGTGCCATTTCTAAACCTGTTTCCCAATGGAAAATGAGGATATTAATAATCCCCTACCTGCCAGGGTGATTGGGAATATTAAATGATGTAATATGTGGGTATGTCATATACATACACATATACATATCCCCATAGGGCAGCATCCCACTTAGGAGAAATGCAGAGTCACCAAAGGGTCCTGGTTCACCACGTAACCTCTGGAGCCATTGTGTCTAGTTACTCCAGGAGAAGAAACTCTAAAGCACTGGTTTCTAGGAGTGGTACCCAGGCCAGGAGTTCTCTCCTATACCCCAATCTACCAAATCTGAATACCAAGAGGAACCATGTTCTGTCTCCATGGGTGATGCTTAGAGGCAAGATAGCTTTGAAGAGCTTGCCATAGTAAAAGAGACAAGTCCAGCGTTCACACAGGATAAATAGTACCCAAGAGAGACCTCTGGTAACAAGACAAAAACACATACATGGAACTCAGAGACTACACACACACACACACACACACTTCAATTGACCATGTAAAGGAGCCAACCTCTACCCCAGATGTGAGCAGGTTTTAACTGAGCTGACCTTTTTCACTCCAATGGAGATGAATGCCCATGAGCTAGGCTCCGTGTGGGGGAAATGAAAAAAGTCTCATGCTTGAGACTAACAGTGTGATTCCCACTACAGCTGCTGAAGCACTCATAGCCTCATCATAACAGCCCATCATCCTGTCCATGGAAGGGAACCTACAGTCTCTTTACCAAACCACCACCAGCTTCCTGCAGTGTCCCAACCCCTTCCACCCTTCTTTGAGGAACTCATGATCCCCTCAGCAGTGATGTGATTCAGGTTATTATTCTTCAGTAGGGGTTATGTGCACCCACAAAACCATGGCAAGAGGACTTTAGGTAATATACCTGGGAAGTTCAAACAGTAACAGTAGTGGTAATGACCACAAGGCACAGCCTCCCCTTTTTAGGTACTGGGAAACCAACTCCCGAATAGGAAAGTTTGCCCTGCAGCCCAGCCTCCCTAGATGAACCGGGACAGTATGGTCTGAGGGTTGGGAGATTCCGTATGCCTCACCCAGCTCCCTCCTGTACCCGGCCTGCTCTTACCACCTGCGTCATCTTGAGGCACAGCTTCTTATGTGCTGCGGTCAGCATGGCCAGGGCCCCAGCTGCCGCGTTCTGCAGTTTGTCGTCCTCCTCCCCGCACAGCAGCACCACCAGCTTCAGCCGGTCATTCCCATCAGCCAGGAACCTCTCCTGAACCTGTTCCGGGCAGGTGTGTGATCAGTGAGAAATGCCCCACGCCTGCACCTCCCAAGGACAGGACGGAAAGAGGCAGCTGACATTCCCTGGCCTGGGCTATCTGGTAGATTTTCTCTGAGCCGTTGCTGCGTAAAACTCTTCCACGATCGCCTGAGTGAAGGGGCTTCGAATTGCCACTGCCAAAGGCTAAGGAGGAAAAGGACATTTCCCACCTCCCCTAGATTAGCCCCTTCTCTTTGCATCTCTACTCTAGGAAAAGCTGCAGCTTCTCTTTGGGAAACACAGACTACCTACCCCACAGTCCTGGGCCATTGTGGTCCACAATGAATTTGCTGTCCCTGAAAGCATGGGGACTTGTTCAGGAGCAGCGGTAATCGGGGAGATTTCCTTGTTATTGGAGAGTGGTTGTCCTGTCTCCACCAGGTGAGACTGAAGCATCCCAAACACCTGAAAGCAGAAGCAGCTGCCTGATGCCCACCCAGCTCTGTGACCTGTCACAAAGAGTTATTAAGGCTGAGGTCCATAGCATCTTCTGCCACACTTTAAACAACAGCAAAATCTAATTGGTCAAGGTTAAGGACATTTGTTTGGAGAAAATATCCAAAATATAGGTCTCTGGAAGAAGACAAATGTTACAAATACTCAGGTAAGAACCTCCTTCCATATCTCCTGGGATCTGGAGCAGGGGCCATCAAAGGGGAGGTATGAAGGAAGAGGTCAGCACGGCCGTCTCTTGTGGGACCCAGATGGAAGTCACTGGAAGCAGCTGTCCCACCAAGGACTGCAGCCCTCTCCTCTCCTACACCTTGGTGTGGCCATGGCCTAGCTCTCACTGATGGAATGGAAGCAGAGTTGAGCTGTCACTGGCTGGCCACCTTGGGTAAGTGGTACAGTTCTCCTTCTATGGTAGTTTCTACTCACTACCAAATAGAGATCATCACTCCAGGTGGCAGGAGGGAGGCACTTTCTGGTGCCCCAAAAGGCTTGGATTCCCAGTCACTGTGTAGACAAGCCCCAACTCAATGACACTCAATGGCCAGGAATGAACTTCTGTATCTTAAGACCACTATGTAGCTGGATTCTGTTGTTGCAGCAGCAGGTGCTCCCCCAGGGAAGGTTGCCCCCCTTTCACAGTGCCCTTTTAGTAGGCAACCCCATCTCTGACTCCTTGGACACACCCTTTTCCTTCCAGTTCCCTGATGGACTCAATCCTTGCTGACTTTCAAAAATTGCTTTCATAAATTGGATTTTCCTCCATGTAGTAGTCAGGATAAAAAGGATTCCATGGGCTTATATGTTTGAATACTTGGCCCCAGATGTTGGAACTGTCTGGGAAGGATTAGGAGGTGTGGCTTTGTGGAAGAGGTGTGTCACTGGGAGTAGGCTTTGAGGTTTCAGAAGATTCCTGTGATTCCCACTGCTCTCTCTTTGCATCATGGTTGTGGATCAAGATGTGAGTTCCCAGTTGTTCCCTTGGTCTGCCATCCTGGACTCTAACCCTCCAAAACTGTAAACCAAATCAAACATTTCCTTTTGTAAGTTGCTTTGGTTCTGGTGTTTTATCACAGCAATAGAAAAATAAATAATCACTCTGGTAACAGGAGAGGGTATAAGACTTGAATTAGGTATAGAGGTGAAAAATCTCCAGCCTCACATGTCCTTGCAGCAGGGCTCACATTCCAGAAGTGTCTCAGATCTGGAACTGTCACGTCTGTAAGCATAGTGATGCTTGGTCACCATGCAAAGAATTTATTCACTAGAGAGTCATAATTTGTCCTGTTTCTTGACTGTGAAGCCTTGTGGTATTCTCCTAATTCTTTTCCTTTTTTTGTTTTGTTTTGTTGAGCTTTGAGGGGGTGGGGTTTTTTGTTATTGTTGTTGCTATTGTTTTAAGACAGGGTTTCTCTGTGTAACAGCCCTGGTTGTCCTGGAAATCACTCAGTAGACCAGGCTGGCCTTGAACTTAGAGAGATCCGCCTGCCTCTGCCTCCCAGAGTACTGGGATTAAAGGCGTGCGCCACCACCACCCAACTTGTTTTCTTTTTATACCCTTTATACCCTATGATTACCCGGTGGTAAGTACAGCTACCGAGGGCCTGTGGATACTCATAGTGAGGTGTCTGTCTGAAAGTGATTCAGAACTGCACTTTTGCATCTCTTCACTGTCCCATGGATCTTTAATGACTTCAAGAAGTGCTCTAGCCTCTCTTAACCTCCAAGAACCCTGATCATAGCCTGCCTATGATACTATGACATTATTCAGGCTTAATTAACTTACAAAAATGGCACTTTCCACCTCACTAAGACCAAGACTCAGCTTCATTACACCATGAATATGTTTCCTTAGGACTCCTAAAGGGAAACAGGGCCCTAATCTAGGTGTGATCTGGGGACTCCTAGATTCTCTGATCAAAACGCTGCTTTAGCACCATCTCACAGCCCCAGCCTCATCCCAAGGCCAATACTCACCTCATCCCCTGGAGCCCCAGCCTCATCTCAAGCCTGATGCTCACACCTTGGTAACCCTGTCCCCTGGAGCCCCAGCCTTACCTCCTTGTTAATCACCATGTTACACATGCATTCGGTGGCTGCCTGCCGTAGCTGGTCATGGTTTTCAAACATGTAGTTCTCAATGTCAGGCAAGGCCTTCTCCTTGAAGATCTTCTGCCTGGAGTGAGGGGGAAGGGTGAGGGGCAGAGGGCCTTGAGTACCCCTCCCCACAACCGTGAGCGCATGAGGCTGGTTCTTCCTCCAACTTCATGGGGCCCCTCCCACATCCTCAGACTGTACAGTGTACGGGACGCTGACCCCACCTCCAGAAGACATAATGGAATAAATTAAATGACAAGATTATGTCTCCCAGCCACAGCAACTGGCTCTGGGAAGAACGTGTCACCCCACTGGAGATATTTATTATTAATAATTGGGAAAGAAAATTCTCTTCCTTTTCCTGCTGTATATGAGGTCAAGTGTCACACTTGTGACCACGAGAGAGGAGAAAAGTCCATCTGAAAGTTAAAGCAACAGAGGGGAGGGGAGAGGAGGGGACTGGATGGCCAGTAACCAGACAACTTTTTTGTTTTGTTTTGTCTGATGGGTTTTGTTGTTGTTGTTTTGAGACAGGGGTTCTCTGTAGCTTTGTTGGCAACTTTTTCAGTCCCTGCACCAAACCAAACCTAATTGATTTACCCCAAACTTAATTTGCATGAGTCAGTATATTTCCTTAATTCAAGAGCCACTTAAAACATAGCACAATACAGTCCACCACCCCTCTGCTTCCAAGAAGGGTTACCTATCGGGTGGACTGGTCCTTTCTACCTTAGGGGAAGCTGCCTTTGGAACCTCGGCTTCACACAGTCCCTGTGGGTTTGTATAGGGTGCCTGCTCACAGCCCCTCCTATCCCTGCTTCATCTCTGCCGCCATCATCCAGCAGAGGAGTCAGTACATGATAGATACAAAATTGCAACCAAACGCTCCATGGTCGCCTCTGTGGACCTCTGCCCTCTCCACCTGCCCCACTTACCTAAGCTTGTCACTGCGCCCAGACAGGTTGGTGAGTCCCAGGAGAGCCTCATAGTTCTGAAGGCCATCCCTCTGTGTGTCCAGGAGACTCACAAGGGGCCTCACCACCTCATACACCTGTGGGGATGAGATAGTCCCATCTCTCAGTCTCCTGCATCTGAAGCTTTACAGTTCTGAATCCCTTCCCTTCCCACACGCTGTTGGATTGAATCTGCATGGGGATCCTGAGAGGCTACATTGTTCCCTTTCACTGTTCAAATGGGAAAGCGAAGTTCAGGAGGACAAACATATTCATCAGAGGTAGAGCCAGGCCTGGGGTCCAGGTGTCCCTGACTCATTATCCTCCCTGTGACAGCATCATGACCCTTTCTCAGCAGAGGAGGTGCAGGGACAGGGCCCCACGAGCAATGGAGCACCCTCTCCCTTGTTTCTCAGATACCTACCCGCTCCCCAGGGAAGGCGATGTCTGGATTGGAGACAGCAGCAATCTTGGCTAGCCCGTGGGCTGCCTTCACCTTGCCAACATCTGTGCCCTCCAAAGCCAGGGGGATCAGGGCCTGCAAGGGAGAGCACAGTCACTAGCCAAGCCCAGACAACCAGAAGCCTCTCTTTCCCTCCTCTGGCTCCGGCTGCCCTCTGTCTGTCTCTCATCAGAGATTCCTAGCCTAAGGCGCTCTAGAGCACTGTTCCTCTGTAGACAAAGTCCTCAAGGCTTGTGTGTGGGAGGCTTGGTCTCCAGCTGTCAGTGTGATGAGGAAGTGACTGGACCCTGAGAGCTCTGACCTAACCCTCAGATCAATCCATTGATGAGCTCACAGCTGTAGAGACTATCGGGAGGAAAGCCCTGCTTGGAGGGAGAACATCACGGAATGTGACTTTAAGGGTGTGTCTTGTTTTTCCTCTCCGCTTTTCCTCTCTTTCCTTCCACTCTCACTCCTGACTCATAAACTGAGTAACTTTGCTTGGCTTCACACTCCACCACCATGAGGTCCTGCCTCATTTCTGACCCCCAGTGGCACCGTGGACCGGAATCTCCGAGAACATAAACGCAAAGGAATCTCTCTTCCTCATCGGTTCTCATGCCAGATGTTCGTCACAGAGACAAAAGTCTGACTAACTCAAGCGCCATATAAATCTATGAAATACCTGTCAAGGACTCACAACCTTTGGTCCCTGCCTTCATTTCTCCCTACATTTTGGAAAAAAAATAACCAATTGACTCTTTCCAGGTGTGGTGGCATGGGCCTAAAATCTCAGCATGCAGGAGGACGAAGCGGGAAGACTACAACAGCTTCAAATCCAACCTGGATTACATACAGGGCAAGAACTTGGCTAGTTAGGGCTACATGGTAAGATTCTGTCTCAAATCATAATAATAATAACAGCAATAATAATAAATAATAACTGGTATTTTTTTTACATGTTGCCCAAGCTAAATCTAATCCTAATAGCCGCTGTTTATTGAGCATCTATGAGCTGAATGTATCTAACCTACTTCCCATGACTCCCTGAGCAGTGAGACAGTGACTCCTCCTCCCCATTTTGCTGAGGAAGAAATTACAGCTCAGAGAGAGTAACGTGCCCAGGTTCGCACAGCTAAGAAGAAGGAGAGCAGCTGGGTGGTGGTGGTACAGGGTTTTAATCCCTGCACTTGGGAGGCAGAAGCAGGCAGATCTCTGTGAGTTCGAGTCCAGCCTGGTTCACAGACCGAGTTCCAAGACAGCTAGAACTGTTACAGGAGAAATCCTGTCTTGAAAAACAAAACAAAAAAGAAAAAGAACAAAGCTCCACTGCAAGGCTTCTGTGGGAAGCCCACGATCTGCTTCACAGCAGCCAGAGTAGCAGGCAGAGGGCATAGGATTCCAAAGCAGATCCCACGGCATCATCAAATCAAGAAGGAACTAGCTTGGGCCCGTGAATTACACGGTGTAGATAACTGAGTGAGGGTATTTCAGGAAGGCAGGGGGCGTTGAAGCACATGACTTTGGAATGAGATGGGGGGACCCACATATATGAATGTGTACGTAGGATACGCAGGCATGCACACATTGTGTGTGTCTGTGTGTCTGTGTGTGTGTGCTCCTTCCCAGTAGATCACCTTCTACCTAGAACAGCCTAATTACCTTGCCACCACCTTGAGCTACAATGGTGCCCCGATCCTTCGGGTTGTCACAGAGTGCCAGGAACACCCTGCAGAAGCAATGATGAGGGAGAATGAATATTCACTGTTCCTGTAGAGCGTTCCCAGGAATCACCGCACAGCCAGTCAGAGCCAGGAACCCTCAGCGCAACAGTGGAAGCCTGGAAAGGCAGACAGTGTGCCCTTGACTGGAAAGAGCCCCCTTTAAGGACACTGCCATGCACATAAGTGGTGGGGGAGGCAATAAATCTAAGCAAGGCTTCCGAGAGCCGTCCCACTCCTATTTCTGGAGACAGCTCCAGCCAACAGCTCCCTGCTACCCCAATCCAGGAGGAACTCTCCTGTCTACCTGCATCATCTGGTCCTGGTCCCAGGTAATGCCACCACCACTCATAACACCCCAGACATATCGCAGGAGAAACCAAACTCTATTCTTTACCCGTCCATCCTCGCTGCCTTGGTACATGCTGTTCGCTCTTTCCTGAAGCCCTGTCCTTCCCTGCAGCTGGCTGGCTGCTTTCCTCCTTCAGGACTCTGTTGATATCACCTCTATCAGGAGCCCTTCCTGGATGTCCACCCACCAACCTTCTAGCTGGGTGGCTGGGACCTCTTGTCTGGACTCCAGCCAGACCTCCGTGCTTCCTTGTCATGGCATTTACCCATTGTGCTGCAACTGAGACCTGCCTGCTTCCTCTCTAGTCCACCCTTCATCTCTGAGGAAAAGGTAAGCAAAAGGAACAGGGGCCACCTCCTGACGCAGCTGCAGTGACCTGCCTTGTCACGTCTCTTCCCCATGTTCTCCAAGCCCTCGCTTAGTCTCCGCTATTCTGATCTTCCATCCCGCCTCCCGCCTCCCAGTGTCCCCAGCCCACCCCGGGTTGCACCTGGCCAGCAGCTCCTTGGTCTGATCTGTGAGGATAGCACTGTCCGCCTTCACCATGCAGGCCAGCGCAGATATGACACCTGCCTTCAGGAGCCGTTTCACCCGCATGTCTACGAAGTCCTTCTTATCCTGGAGGGGACACAAGGGTGGGTGTGGGGAAGGGACCACTTATTAGGCAGCCCCAGGTAGAGTCATTATGACAGATCATCATAGGGTGAGGAGTAGACAGGAGGGGGGCATGGTGTATAATCTCTGGAAATGTGCTTAAACATCACACACACCCACAGGGCATGTATGTGTGCTAGATCCCTGAAACAGAACCCAGTGATAAGAGCGGAGGGGGGGGAGGACTGGGATGCAGCTGTGGAGCATCTGCCTATGTGGAGGACTAGGATGCCGCTCAGCCGTGGAGCACCTGCCTAGGTGGAGGACTAGGGACGCAGCTCAGCCGTGGAGCACCTGCCTAGGTGGAAGACTGGGGATGCAGCTCAGCCGTGGAGCACCTGCCTAGGTGGAGGACTGGGGACACAGCTCAGCCGTGGAGCACCTGCCTAGTGGAGGACTAGGGATGCAGCTCAGCCGTGGAAGAATGAGATGGCAACATGAGTATATTCCCAACGTCTGGCACAAAGGCAACACTCACATTCTGATTGCAACTATACAGGGGAGAAAGAAAGAAAACCTTCCTGTGAGTAACACAAGAAACTGCCAGCGGTGGTCCTATGGAAATGATGGCACTTTATGGCCACGTTCTCTACCGCACATCATTCCATTTTGTAACACAGACGTGACTCTTAAAATCCAAATGATCTCAGTAGCTGGTAGTACTTTTCCACACTAATTCATATGCAAATGGTATACAAACACATCCTTGTGTAGAGGTGATCACCATACAATCTTTCGTGGTAGGGGTGCTGACATTTGCACTTTTAGAATCCTGAGTTCCTACTCAGCACTCGTCCCTAAGTTCAGATATCACAGAAAAATCATATTTTTATGACTTGGAAGCATGAAACAAAACACAAGTATTCATGAAGTCATCAGCAAATATTGCAAAATATTCATCTGTTTCTATTTAATCAAATTACGGAATAGTTAGCCATCCCCCAGTCAGAAAATTAAAGACAGGAATCATAAGTGCCACCTAGTGGGGAAAAGCTGCTATTGTCGTTGTCTGACGGCACAAAGCATTCCCCAGGTCTCCTCAGCACAGTTCCCCCACCACCACCACCCACCCCCCTAAGCTGCCCTGGACCCACCTTGGGGTGCTCCTCCGGCACATGCTGCTTGGAGAACTTGGCAAGCTGCACCAGCTCAGGGACGACCTCCTTGACATCGTAGCTGTTGGTGCAGTTTACCAGGGTGTTGGCCACTGAGTACAGGATGGTCTTGTCGCTGGTCTGGACGCCCCCAGGACAGGAAGGAACACAAAGGAGTCACTTTAGTGGTAGATGAGTGGAAACCTCTGGGCTGTTCCTAGTGGACCCCCTCCCACACTTCCAGAAGAGCCCAGGCACTGCCTGGGTTCCCTCGTGGTCTCATTGCCAGAGGGTCACAGGCAGACATGAGTCCACCCACAACCAGGCAAGATGAGGCCATCCAATGAAAGAGCCAATCCAGCTTCACCAGGGAGGGTGGAGCCAGGATGAGCCCACAGCCAGCTGAGCCCCGAGGGCCAGGACCAGACACCCTTTCCTGAGGTCAGAGATCAGGACTACTCTTGCCTTGGCCAACTCGAACATGGCCTGTAGAGCAGGGATGTCCTGGACAAAATCGTCCTTCACATCAGCATCCAGTGTGAGGTAGGCCAGGCCCTCCACTGCCCAGCGTCGCGTCCGGGTGTCTATGGCGGTATTGCATAGCCACCTAGAAGTGGAGGAGAGGAGAAACCGCTGCAGAAGGAGCCAGGGCTCTGTCTGGCCAAGAGTGACCCAGTGAGGGGGGTCTTTTCTCACCCAACATCACTGAAACACACTCCAGAACACCCCCCAGAGGTCCATGAGGAAGCAGAGAGTCCAGTCTCTTACTTTCGACACTGCTTAGCCAGCTTCTCCGTTGACCCTTCAGCAAACTGTCTGAGCCCATAATCTGAGCCCCCAGCTGAGCCAAGTTTACAGAGGCCCTGCGGAGAGGGATATGGAAGGGTTAGCAACACTGAAGGCTAAGTCGGGTCCTGTAGCCCTGTGGTCAACACTGTCCCCTTTTCTCTGCTTAATATACCTCTGTGCCCTTCTACCTCTTCCGAGATGCCCCATCCAATGCCCTATGTTAGGGAGGATGCGCACCACTTTGATCTCGTAGATGTTTTGAAAACTCTGCACCAGAGAATACTAAATACCTACAGCCATCGTGAGAAACCTCGAGATGGTGTGAGATGGCCAAGTCACACCATGTGGGCAACAAATTCAGACATACAAAATCTAGCCCGGAAGAAAAACAGACCCTTGCCAGCAAAAGAACAATGCCTTCTGGAGCAGAAGAGCCATCACACCCACGGCAAAAAAGTTTCTAAAAAATTGATATGAGAACCAGTCATAGTGGCATACACCTTTAATCACAGCACACAGGGGTCAGAAGCAGGAGGGTCTCTGTGAGTTAGGGTTCAGCTTGGTCTACATATCGAGCTCCAAGCCATTCAAGGTTGCATACACGGTGAGATCCTGTCTCAAAAGCAAACAAACAAAAAAAATCGACTGATGTGAGGGGCTAGGGAATGAGTCATCGCGGAAGCAAACATGAGGACCTGGGTTCAGATCCCCAGGACGTACGTAAAGCTGGACATAACCCACCTAATAAAATAGAAAAAGAAAAAAGAATTAAAAAAAAATAGAACAAACAGGGCTGGAGAGATGGTTCAGCAGTTAAGAGCACTTGACTGATCTTCCAGAGGTCCTGAGTTCAAGTCCCAGCAACCACATGGTGGCTCACAACCACCTCTAGTGGTATCAGACTCCTTCTTCTGGTATGCATGAAGTCAGAAGACTCATACACATAAAATACGTGAATAAATAAATCTTTTTAAAAAGAAAAACGGAAGAAAAAATGTGAATTAAGATCCAGGTGAATGAATCAAATCTTCTCCGTAATTTTTTGTGAGGTGAAGAAAGGAGAATGAGAACAATTCTGAAAGGTGGAAACAATAAAAATGAACAGAGTAATTCTTCTGCATGCAGCTGCTCAAACAAATGCAATTGTTGGCATCTGCTCTGAAAGTACTTCCTGGACGGTGTCCGTGTTTGTCTCCACAGTACAGAGGGCACTTTCCTAGCATTAACCAGGGGTCATCCTCCTGACTCTCTTCCCACGACCCTGGCTTTCACTCTCTCTGCAGGAGCACATAGATGGACCTGAGGGGTCCCTATTATGTGACCCCTTGTCCTGGCTGCTTTTATGCCAACTTCACACAAGCTAGAGTTATCAGAGAGGAAGGAGCCTCAATTGAGGAAATACCTCCACAAAATCCAGTGGTAAGGCATTTTCTTAATTAGATCAATGGGGGAGGACCCAGCCCATTGTGGGTGGTGCCATCCCTGGGCTGATGGTCCTGGGGTTAAGATAGCAGGCTGAGCAAGCCAGGGGAAGCAAGCCAATAAGCAGCATTCCTCCATGACCTTTGCCTCAGCCCCTGCCTCCCAGCTCCTGTCCTGTTTGAGCTCCTATCCTGACTTCCTTCAATGATGAGCCGTAACATGGAAGTGTAAGCTGAACAAACCCTGTCCTCCCCAGCTTGCTTTTCAGCCACAGTGTTTCATCACAGCAGTAGTAACCCTAACCAAGGCACCCCCTCAAGGCTGGAGCCCATGTCTCCTTCATCCTGGTGTCCCTGGCACTCAGCACCCAGGCCACTCACCACCAGCGTGCGGATCTTGATCTTCTCATTCTTGGTGGTCTTGTAGATCTGTTTGAGAAGCGACACGCCATTGGTGATGATGAAGGTGGCCCGGCTGAGTTTAGTGGAGGCGTGGATGAGAGCCTCCACAGCCACCAGCTGGTCTGCCTCGCGCTCCGAGCCGCACAGGGCCACCATCATCTCCATCACACCTTTCATGCCCAGCAGCTGATTGCCCAGGTCAAAGGGCCCCTGCAAGATCCCAGACACTGTCTGGATGGCATTCACATTCTTGTCCATGTCCTGGGGATCAAACTTGCCCCTAAGACAGAGGACAAGGGTGGTCAAGAGAATCAGCCGAAAGGGGCAGAAAGAGTACATACAACACGTAGGGGGAGATTTGAATTCGCCCTACACCTGAGCTGTGTGACACTGGGTGATTCACGGAACCTTTCTGAATCTCAGCTTTTTGGTCTATAGATAAAGAGTATAGTACTGTTATTTCTTAAGGACAAATGACATCAAGGCTGGTCACAAGGTATGTCCCTGGGGCGGCACACTCTGACCTTGAAGATTGACCTGCAAAAAGTTGAATTATTGGTCAGAGGAGGAAGCAGCACTGAAGGAGGCACTGGCCTGCAGTGCGGTCACCCCAAAATCTCTTCCTTGAAGAGTTTTGAGCTGGGGCACCCTAAAAAGTTTCATTTCAAATTGAGGTGATTGACAAGTCATTAGTTGCTGGTTACACAGAGGAAGGTGAGAAGCCTCCAGCTGAGGCAAGGACCAATGAGAGACTCCAACAGCTCCAGTCCTCTCAACCTGGAAGGACAGTCCATAGGCACAGCCACAGAGATGCATCAAATCCATGGTGGGGGACAGGTAAGGAGAGAGACTCCTCAGCAGTTCACAGAGAGGTCCACATGGGAGTAACTGCAGTTTTCCGCCAGCAGCCGTCACCAGTGCGCAGCCACGTTAGCGCAGCTTCCTAGAGATATAGTCCAACCCCAGTCAAGCCATCAGACAACGTAACTATGTCTCAAGCTAGCTACACAGGTTCCAAATACCCATCCCACTGAGGGATAACTACTTTTATTTCTGTAAGTTACTGAAGGTGGAGAGCGACTGGCCACACAGCCAGAGGTGGCTAATGCCTCCGGGGAACTCACGTGATGTACTCCTCGCAGATCTTGCGGAAGTGGTCACGCTCGGGGTCACAGCGCAGGTCGTCGTAGAGTTTGTTGATGAGGATGGAGGCCAGCATGCGGGTGTTGTCCGTCAGAGGCAGACAGGAGGGCAGATCTGGAACCTGCCCCACCACCTTCAGGATCTTCCTCAGACCTAAGGGGTAACAGCAAGGAGACTGAGACTCCTGAGGAGCTCTGGCCCCTTCAAAAATGTCTCGTCGCTGGCTCCCCGCCAGCTATGGCTTCAGACAGTACATGGCCTCTCCAGAGTTTAGGGCGCTGGAGAGTGGACAAGGAGGCCCTGACCTTTCTCCTGACTCTGCCTCTGTGGTGCCATCCCCCTGCTGCAAAGCCATTATCGCCACCAAACTAAACTCAACACTAGTCGATCTCAGGGGTCTAGACCAGCGCTGCCGTTTCTGGACTGTGTATGAGCTTCCTTATATAAGAGTTCATAGTATCTTTCCCCCGCCCTACCTTCAACACCGTGTGGGAACTGAGCGTGTAAACCTACAGGTACTGAAAGCTAACGATGCAGACGAGGCATCTGGCTTCAGCAGAACTACAGACGGAGAACAGGACAGAGCTCGGTGACAGAGGGTGCTTCCCTAGCCTATGAAAGGCCCCGATTTGACCCCCGTGTCCCCAAAAGATGAGTGGCAGGCTGTTCTGAGCATTTCTTTAGTGCCAAGGGGCTTGTGCGTGCTCCCTGAGCTGAGCCTAGCAATCGCCCTTCTTCTTAGCAATCAGTTCCATCGTTCAGACAAGATCACAAGTGACACACACAGAGGACATGCCTGGTGTCGAGCCCACCGTAGGAACTGTCACGCCATGAAGCCTCTGGGACATCTAATGTCAGAGCTAGCTTGGAGGTAGAGAGATATCCGTGAGCCCAGTCAGAGGAAGGAAGTGTTGAGGCAAACACGGGAGCTGGGGTTCTGGGGGCTGGCAGGGAACCGAAAGTGATTGGCAGTAATGTTAATGTTATACTGTGTATATTTTACAACTTTAAGGAAAACCTCCACCATCTACAACTAGACTCTGACTCTCCTGGGGTAGGCACAGACCCCTCAGACTAAAAGCTCAGTCCCATGAGATGGCCTCCAATGCAGGCCCACAGGCTGGATCCCAGCGTTTCATCCAAAGAAGAGAATAAAAAAAAATGTTTTTCCCCCACCTATTTAATCCCACAAGCCACACACTTGATCCTAGTGCAGAGAAGGGGATCACCATTGCTGGCCGGCTTTCAGAATATATGCAGAGGCCAGCTCAGGTAGGGGAGCATGACAACGGTCCTTGGACACTAGGGTCAAGTGTTAAAATCTAAGTGCTTGCACTGTGCTGGGTGGGTGCTTGGGGAGCACAGCACTGTTTTGAGTGGGTGCTTGGGGAGCACCGCACTGTGCTGGGTGGGTGCTTGGGGAGCACACTGCCTAATGGAAGCTGACTTGGGCCTTGTAGAACAAGTCGTAGGCTATATGTCACAAAAGCTGTGGGAGAATTAACCACAGCAGACTCTAAAGCCACAGGTGTGACTCCTGCACAGATGCAGTGGATTCAGGAAACAACTCACACTTAGATTTAGTGACTAACTGCTAGAATGGTTTCACTTTGCTTGCCATAAAGTGCGTGTGACGTCATCTTCTCCCCCTTTGGAAGGCCTGTTAAGTGTTTTACCAGCCATGAGACTTCAGGCATGTTACCCCAATGGTTGGTAAAGTCCTGTTTGTAACAAACACTTAACCCAATGTTTTGGGGTGCTAACTACTTTCTGAATCTGTTCTTGCCCTTAATTCAGAGCCTTGACCTAGCTGCGTCAACAGCCCCTAGGGGATACACTAATGCCTGCCACCCACCTCAGTGGGGACTGAAGACACTCTGCAGACAACATCTCCTCTCTCTACACAGGGACAAGTATCCTGAGCCTGCCCTTAACAGTATGACTGAACCTCAAGCCCATCCCCCATCTCACCGTTATCTACGACATAGATAGTGCGTGAGTTGTCATGGATGGCCAGGTCCTTCCTGGGGACGTTCTTGTTGAGCAGGTTCAGTGCCTGGTCTCTGCCCTGCCCGGAGACCTTCTTACTGACCAGCATGTCCAGCAGGTGGCTGGTGATCTGCTTCAGGTCTTTCTTGGTATCTGAAGAGCAGAGGAAAAGAGCAAGTAGAGACAACAGAAAATTTCACATAGAGAGGATCAAGGAGGGCAGAAACTTCTAGAAGGATTCTGGAAGGCATGAACCCATTATTTTTCTGAGTGTTACCCCTTGAATTTGAAGCATCCTCCTGACAGGCTCCTGTGTGGAATGCCTGTCCGTTGATGGTGCTGTTTGGAGGGGTTCTGGAAACGGGAGGAGGTAGAGTATGGTTGAAGATGGGGGCAGATCCTGGACAGCTGTTTCTTGACCCAGGAGGTGCCTCCCATCTCTCTCCTCCCTCCCTTCCTTCCTTCTTTCTCTTCCTCCTCCTCCCCTCTTCTTTCCATCCCTCTCGCCCCTCTTCCTGTCCACCCTGAGGAGGCTTCCTCCTCCACCTGCTATCACAGCATGATACCTGGTGCTCTGCCAAGTGCATGATGCACCAAGCCAACACCCCATAAACCATCTGAGGGTGTGAGCAAAATAGATCTCTCCTCAGACTGTTTTCCGGTACGGTAAGTATGTGAATTTCCCAAGACAGTGTGGCTCATCTCACAATCCTGCCCACAAAAGCAAAAAAATCCTCAAGCAACACCCCCAAGAGCATTCTGGCCACAGACCACTGTCTCCCCCCACATTCCCTTTGTCTTCAAAGAGTTCCTGTTCCTGGAAACCCCTTACTTCCAGGCAATAACTGGCAGAGATCCAAGGATACTCCGTGTGGTTTTAATTAACTTTTTTTTTCCCCTTGATATTTCAAGACAGGGTTTCTGTGCAGACCAGGCTGACCTCAAACTCACAGAGATCCCCCTGTCTCCACCTCCTGAGTGCTGGGATTAAAGGTGTGCACCACCACTGCCCAGAGGCACTAGCTGCTCTTAAAGAGGACCTTCATCAGGCGAAAAAAGAAAAAGAGACAAAGACAGAGACACACATTGGAGCACCGAACTGAAATCTCAAGGTCCAAATCAGGAGCACAAGGAGAGAGAGCACGAGCAAGGAACTCAGGACCGCGAGAGGTGCATCCACACAATGAGACAATGGGGATGTTCTATTGGGAACTCACCAAGGCCAGCTGGCCTGGGTCTGAAAAAGCCTGGGTTAAAACCGGTCTCGCTGAATGTAGTGGACAATGAGGACTACTGAGACCTCAAGAACAATGGCAATGGGTTTTTGATCCTACTGTACCTATTGGTTTTGTGGGAGCCTAGGCAGTTTGGATGCTCACCTTACTAGACCTGGATGGAGGTGGGTGGTCCTTGGACTTCCCACAGGGCAGGGAACCCTGATTGCTCTTTGGGCTGACGAGGGAGGGGGACTTGGTTGGGGGAGGGAGAGGGAAAGGGGAGGCGGCGGTGGGGAAGAGACAGAAATCTTTAATAAAAAAAAAAAAAAAGAGGAACCCAGGGTTTGATTTCCTAGCACCCACATGGTGGCTCACAACCATTTGTAACGCTAGTTCCAGAGGATCCAATGCCCTCTTCCAACTTTCACGGGCATCAGGCACACACATGGTGCACATACATATATATAGTCAAAGCATTCATACACACGGAATAAACCAAGTCTAAAAAATGTCTTATAGGAAGGACCTGTATACTCCCTTCAGACACTTCTTCACCCAGATTCAGACATGTTGGGAAGGGAGTCTGGGACTTGGACTGGGGCTTCTGTCTATGATGCCAGGACTAACCCTGCCCGGGGTGGGCGGTAAAGAGCAAGAGCCTTTCCCCAGCTCTGCTCTGACGAACTTCCTGAAACTTAGAGAGATATTAGAGGTTCTAAAATGGAGTATGAAGACAGATAAGAAGTAAGGGCTCTACGATATGTCAGATCAGCAACAGAGGGAGGAGAGGATGTGCCGCATAAGGAAGGAGAGGCGAAGCTGACACTGTAGTTTGCAGATAGATAGGTCTTGTAATAGCAGGCTTATTCTCGTCTTAACTGGTCCCTTTGCCACACTAGCTCTAGTTGGCCATGTGACTTGAAGGTATAACCAGGTTTGCAAAGCACTTACTCCCTGAACTGACCCATTCGTAATCCAGCTATCATATCATATAGAAATCCAAGATAGCCATGAGAGAGGCCACGGGGGTGGGGGACAGTGGAGGAGAAATGTCAAGGCTTCTGAGCAATCTTTCCAGCTAACCAGCAACCATCCAAGTGAAACCAGCTTGGACCTTCTAAAAAGTCTGACCCAGAAAAGACAAGCAACTCCTTGGCCATTACTGTAGTTAAGTTAGGGCCAATCAAGAACCCAGGCCTGGAGAGACGGCTCAGAGGTTAAGAGCACTGGCTGCTCTTCCAGAGGTCCTGAGTTTAATTTCCAGCACCCATATATATGGTAGTTCACAGCCATCTGAAATGAGATCTGGTGCCCTCTTCTGGCCTGCAGGCATACATGCAGGCAGAACACTATACATAATAAATAAACAAATAAATAAATAAATAAATAAATATTTAAAAATATAATAATAATAATCCAGGCTTAGGGCTGTTGAGATAGCTCAGTGGTTAAGAGCACTAGCTGCTCTTCCAGAGGACCTGGGTCCAGTTCCCAGCACCCACATGGCAGTTTAACTGTCTGCTGTAACTTCTGTTCTAGGGGATCCAATACCCTCACACAGACATACATGTAGGCAAAATATCAATGCATATAAGATAAAAATAAATAATTTTTTAAAAAAAGAAGCCAGGCCTCTAAAAAGTGAGTATTCATAACACACAGGGACGCTGGTGCACACCTGTAATCCCAGCACTCAGGAAGCAGAAGCAGGCAAATCTCTGAGTTCAAGATCAGCCTATTCTACTTAGTGAGTTCCAGGATACCCAGGGCTACACAAAGGAACACTGTTTTAAAAAACAAAAAAATTATTGAAATAATTTTAAAAATATTAAATGGGCTGGGCTTGGTGGTACACACCTACAATGCCAGTACTTGGGAGGCTGAGGTTGGAAGATAGAGAACTCAAGGCAGTATGGACTACATAGAGAGACCCTATCTGAAAAGAAAGAAAGAATACTATTAAATTATGTGCATATCAGTTACTTTTCTCATAACTGGGTCACAACACCTGGCAAAGAAAGTCGGGGAAGAAGGGTTATATTTTGGTTAATGGTTTGAGGTGGCTCATGGTGGAAAGGGCATTGATAAGGTGGCTCACAGCTACGGCAGTGGAAACATGGGGCTCCACTGTGTGGATCGGGGCACACAGATGAGAAAGACAGAGAAACAGCCAGGAAACCTCAAGACCTAACCTCCCTGACTCACTTCCTTTACTGAGACCCCCATCCCCTAAAAGTTCCCTAACTGCCCAAAACATCTCCTAACACCCAGAAACGTTCCCGGGGGGTTCATTTCACATTCCAACCACAATGCATGTAGCATTGGCCTTGCTCGGTAAGACAATTTAAAAAGACCTAGAGCAGAATTCAATTTTTCATTGATACTTATGTAAATATTTTGACATGGATAAGAAAAGAAAGAGGGTACCCAGTGGGTTATCTAAGTGAGTCGGGTTTTGTTGGGAGAGTATTTTTTCTTCTTATAGATTTCTGTATCTTTCCAAATCTCCCCAGTGAGCTTCCGTTAGACTATGATGAAATACACATAGCTTAAAATTTACCATTTTTACTATTTGTAAGTATAAAGTTGAGTGGTATTGAACACAGCCACACTAACATGAGCCATAGGCACCACCCACCCAGAGCACCTTCCAGACGGACACACTGACAGTTCTACACTCAGTATTGAGTGCCACTTTCACCATTATAACCCCAACACACACACTAAGATCAAACCAGGCCACCTCTGCAGGAGATGCCAACGTGAGGTGGGGACTGGCTCTGCCTTGGAGTCCACACGAACCAGCACAGAAGAATATCTCCTACCTAGAACCAAGGCCTCCTCTTTCCCTCGATGTTCTCTCTTGTCCTCCCCAGACAGGGAGTCGATGATGGCCTGGAGCAGGTTGCAGACAGCCAGGGACATCTCCTCATTCTCCACGGCCATGAGGCTGCAGATTCTGTCTATGCGGACTGTGTGCAGGATCGCTGTAGCCTAGACCCCAGCAGGAACAGAGTCAGCAGCCTTGCTCCTCCCTCCTGCTTGGCACCTGGGTTAGGAGGTGCGTGGTGACTGTCCTATCCACTTCATGCTTTAGGGAAGTGGGGCTCACAGGCTGGGAAAGGTACTTCAGGGGACTCTGAGCTCTGTCACCCCATAATAGAGTCCTGGAGGCCATGAGTCTGTGAATGCAGTGAGATCTCACCAAGATATAAGTGTAGAAGATACACTGAACTCAAAGGCTGAATATGAAGAAACGTACATTACAGTGTCTTTGAATTCAGCTCTTCCTGTAATCCACTTCCAACAATGCCTTTGTCAAGCCCTCTTCCAGCTCACAGGGAAAGAGCCCAGAACACTCTTGCGCCATGCTTCATATGACCCAGGCTGGAAAGCAGGGGACCCTTGAGGCTCTATCACAGCCCCACTGTGTGCCACCCTCTGCCTCCTTGGACCCGCTGCCATCCACACCACCTGTCCCAATCCCCCAGCCCTCACCCTCGCTCGGTGTCCACTGCACATGCCAGACAAGGTCCGCACTGCAGCTAGCACCAGCTCAGGCTTCTTAGTGTCCAGCAGCTGCAGCAGCAGGCCCACCCCATTGCTCTGGAAGATCCTCTCGGCCCCTGCTTCCTCACGGCCCAGAACGATGAGGTTGTTGGCAGCCTGAGAGAGAAGCAATGAAGGTTATCAGGAAACTGGATGGAAGCCTTGGCCATAGACCTAGTGCAGGGGTAGAACACCAACTGCATCTTCGGGACACTGGTAAATTCTGTCCAAGATCTTACAGTCCTGCTCCTGGAAACATAGTAATAATAATATAATAGTAATAATAATAATATCAAAGCAACTTGCATAAGGACCAACTTGATGCAATATGCCACAGCCAGGGAGTGAGGTCACAGATACAGCACAGCCACATGGAACAATGCTAACAGGTGGGATTGGGGTCACAGATTCCCTCGGCCCGTGGTGATGCAAAAATAAAACTGTACATCTACTGTGGATGGAGACGGGCTGGGAAAGATGGAAACATGAAAGAAAGCTTTTCATATATTAAAATCGTTTCTTTGAACATGGCTATCACATTTTGTTTTCCTGTTATCTGTACAAGGGAATCTGAAGCGGTGGGGGCTCCGGGAAAGGTGGAAGATGGTGGCCACCGAGTGCAATGCAGAAGCCCAGGCGTCAGAGCCCAGGTCCTGCTACTGCCTGCTTCCGGTCACAGCACCTCGCCGAGCCCCAGATACTTCATTTAAGAAATGGGGCAGTCGAGTAAGGGACTAGGAAGCCATCAAGGCTTTTCTCACTCTGATGTCTTCCTGCTTGAGCTCTATGGACCTCCAAAGGCCCTGATGCAGGGGAGGAGGAGGGCCAGAAGAAAGAGCAGGAGGGAGAAGCAGAGAGAGCTGGGGAGCCGGGAGTAGGCAACGAATGTCAGGTAAGTGTGACCTGAACGTTGCAATCAGCTTAGGGCTTCTCCAGACAAAACTAGTTTATCCACGGCAACTCACTAGGTCCTCAGAGAAATCGTAAAGTACATTTTTGTACCATGTGAATTCATTGACCACAAAACTAACATGCCATCTTTCCTCACAGGCGCCACCGGCCAAATTCTTATATAAATAAGGGCAAGACATTCAAATGTTCACCCGAAAGGAACCTGAGAACGAGCAAAAGACTTGGTTAAGATGACTGTTGCCAGTCAGACACAGTGGCACACGTCTTTAATGCCAGCCCTCGGACAGCAGAGGCACTGGGAAGGCGGATCTCTGTGAGTTCGAGGCAGCCTGAGCTACAGAGCGAGTTCCAGGACAGCCAGAGCTGTTACACAGAGAAACCCTGTCTTGGGGGGGGGGGGAGACTTACCAGTAAATACTTCAATATTTTTTTTAATATTTGACCTCTTTGCAGTGTTTCTAAACGAGACAAAGCATTATTCAAACGTGCCAGTATTTCTTGGGACCAAACCAATAGTGAGGCAAGTTAGATATTCCCAGTAGGTACAAAATGTAAGGAGCCAACAAAAAGCCCAATATCCAGACAAGTAAGGCTTAATAAAATACTTCTGAGTCAAAATTAAAGGCCAAATGTTTCACATTGAACAAAATATCTGATCTTAAACAAAGATGTCATCGATCCTGCAGTTTGACTCACCTCAATGACTTCACCCCAATCATGGTCCTTCTTATGGTTAGTGCCGCTTTCTAACTCATGGACACCGCCCTCTTACCTTCCAAGCACAAGAAGCGTGTGCAGAGAGCGCCCACTGCTGACAAGCATGAGGCATCACTCACCTTTTCCCTCTTCTCAGCCTCGCTGTTTTCATTCAGAAGAATTTCAAACATCGTCTGCACCCTGGAGTCTGTGGAAAACTGCACACGGAGCTGAGGAGAGAGGAAGGAGCCCTGAGAGAGGTAGACAGCTGGTCCACATCATTTCTGTCTACGCTTCATATGTTCAGCACAGAAAATAATAGGTCTACTCTGGACCCCAGCACATCCATTCATTTATTCACTGAGCGAATGGTAACCAGGGCCAGAGAAATGTCTCAGTTGGGAACGGCGTTTGCAGAGAAAGCAGGCAGGCCTGAGATGATCTGCAAAACCCTCACAAATGTGGGGAGGAGCCAATCTCCACCTGCTCTGATCTCATCACCCCCTCGTAATAACAACAATAATAATGAGGATGAGAATAATATTTTTAACGTTAGCTGAATAAACCACTTTATGCAGGCACTGTTCAGAGACAGGAAGGTGCACAAGAAGCTGGGATGGTGGCACACGCCTTTAATCCCAGCACTTGGGAGGCAGAGGCTGGCAGATTTCTGTGAGCTCAAGGCCAGCCTGGACTACATAGTGAGCTCTAGGACAGCCAGAGCTACACAGAGAGAACCTGTCTCAAAAAACCAAAAACAAAAGAAAAAAAGTGAACAAAATCAATTCTTTGACCCACAAAGCTATCAGTCCAATTCGTTACAGTCTTCATCACGTAAAATCCCCACGACATGCTTGGTAGACACCAGCCCAGTTTTAGAATATCATAGGTAATCAGCTACCAGACGTTTAAGTGGAGGCTAGAGTAGAAATTTGTCTCCCAGCTCATAAAACAGGAGTGGCTTTCATGCATCAGCCAAGCAAGCAGAAACCATCCTGGCTGGAGGTCTAGACCCTCACACGTCCAACCCTAGCCACTCTGGATCTTTCGTAATGTGGCCTAAATGATCACCCGGCCAGCACCTTCTGCACCTCCTCTGGCTGAGAGCTACTGCTCTTTGCTCCTGCCTACCTGGGCAGGCTCCTCCTTTACCCGCCCCTTTTCTCATCTGCCCCTCAGGTTTCCATTTCCGCAGCACTGAAGCTGCACTCTGGACACTGTGCCAAGGTCCAGCCACACAGGAGTCACTGAGTCTTGGAGCAGATGGATGGATGAGCTATTGTCCTCCTGATCTTACAGGAGGAAGCCAAGTCGTCTAAGGGGCCAATAAGAAAGAAGTCAGCCAGGGGAGGATGCAGGGCTCCTCTCCTCTGGCTCAGGCTCTCCATGGCTTGTCCATTTTCCTAGCAAAGATCTCATGCTCCCACAGATTCTGACCCTGTGTCCCTCAATAGTATCACTGATTCCCAGGGATCCCAGAATATCTTTGTCCCCCTAGAGTCACAATGTAGATTCACCAGGTGATCATAATTCTCTTTTAAAGTCTCCATCTGAAATTTAAAAGAGCTGCAGCTTTAAGTAGACTGCACCCTCACCCAGCACCACAGATCCTCTCCATCTCTCACAGATGGGTGTGCTTGCCTGGCTGTTTCCCGGACACTGCCCGTGTCCCCAGCTTGCAGTTGAAGAGGCAGGGCTGACTCAGTCATCACATCTCAACCTCCCTAGCTCATCCCCACCACCACGAATGGGATGGAAGCAACCAAAGTCCTCTGGAAGGGCCCGGGTTACCTGCTCCTGGATGCTGGTGTTGAGCCTCCGCAGGGTCTCCTGAAAGTTCTGGTTCCTTGGTTCGAGGGTGGCACAGCGCTGCACATCCTTGAACGCCTGGTCCAGTTTGCCCAGACGCTCGAGAGCCTGGCACCGCCGATACAGGGCCTTGATGTCAGCAGAGTTGATGTCAATGGCTACAGACGGGAGACGGGCAGATCCTCAGGGGGCTGGGCTACATACTACTCTCCCTCTTCAGCCCAGGAAGGATGTCTTCCTTAGAGGTACCCATCTGAACTAGCTGGCTCATACCATCTTTTTGAAGGATTCATAGAATCTAGAGGTTGGCAGAAAGCTTCCAAGTCCTCTCCCCCTGCACCTCTCCCAGCACACGCACCCCAACTTCTATCTGATCCCCCAAGGCTTCCTCTAGCACAAGATTCTTATCAGGGGCCCATCTGACTGGTGCCTGTATATCTCCAGAACTAGGGTGTCCCCACTTCATTCTGAGGCAGCCAGGTAACTCCATCACAAAACCTTTCCCTATTCCTACCCCAACTCCTCTCGGCTCTTTTGCCCTTTTATCTTAAGTCTGGCCCTAGAGCCCCTGAGGTGAAGCTAAACCCTCTCTATCCCACCTGGTAGATGCCTTCCCTAGGCTAAATATTGCCAGATATTTCATTCCCTTCTCCAGATGGCCCTTGACCTTCGGAACCCACAGACTGTTATAGTACCTCCAAACAATGGCAGCCAGGTCCACGCTCCTGCGCAGCCATGCTGGGAAAGTTTAAGGGGGAAGTATGGAGCTCACCTCTGGAAGCATCTGAAGCCGCCTGGGCATAGCTCTCCTGAGAAGCAGGAATAAAAGACTCCATTAGTGGGGGACCAGGGCAGAGACAAGCAGTGTCCCCTCAGTGAGGGGAGAAGTTAGCCGGGCAGCTACAGGTTATCAGAGGCCCAGGACGCACTCCCTGACTGATACAGAAAATACAGGCTTTGGCATCAGGCAACTCCAGGTTTAAAGGCCGGCTCCTCCGCCGTCTGAGAGTTTGGCTGAGCTATTCACGCTCTCTGAGCCTTGGGTTTCTTGACTGCAATATGGGAATGAGAACAAGGGCTGCTACGGGATGGTTCTGAAAGCAGTGGCCCAACATATGAAAAGCAGCTGTGTTAGGTCAACTGTGAGAGGTGGGTTCCGGCTTCTCCAGAGCAGTGGCCTGGGAAGTCAGAGGCACGGTTTCCACCTTAGGGGGTCAAGATAGTGAGAGGATGACGGTTCCTTTCTATCAGACCACCACGACCTCGTCTCTCCCCTTAACTGCCCTCAGCCCACCCATGCTGTCCTATCCCCTGACCGTTTTCAGGCCACAGGCTGCCCGATTCCGGTAGAGCGTGGCCAGCAGGGCCTTGTCCTTAGTCAGCTTCAGGGCCTGGCTGTAGCTCTTGGTGGCTGCCTTGTAGTCCTGAAGCTGGAAATGCTGGTTCCCTTCCTCCTTCAGTTGTGCCGCTTCCGCCTCTGCCATCTGTGGGAACACCAGCAGCCCCGTGCGGTCGGCCTCTTGCTGGATAGCCAGGGCCCCAGGTTTCCCTCGCCACAGTGTAGGGTGGGGATTCTGCCTGGAAGGGATCCACTCCAGCACCCCCAAATCCAGTGACTTCTCCCACCCTCCCGCCGCAAAGGACATTGGTCAAGCTTGGAGCTTGACCTCCAATGAGAGGGTTGTCAGAGTCCCTGTTTCCCATCTCTCTTTCAACCAGGTGTCACCCACCTTCCTTGCAGGCCTAAAGGTCCTCAGGGTCTTCTCCTTGCCCAGTCTCCGGGAGACACCTCCTTCTAGGTACTGCTCCTGGGTTCTGCAGTTCACCTCAGCCAGCTTCTGACTGCTGTGCCCAGCCCCCACCCTGCAGACTTTATCACCCCAGCCAGTGACTCCAGACTATATTTGGCCACAGGGGCAGGTGCTCCTGGAGGCTGTCATTGATACAGGGCCTTTCCCCTGCCTGGACTGGATATCCACAGCCACATGGAAGGACCGACTGCCCCCTGGCCCCTAAGCACCCCACTCAAGGGCAGTCTGGCAATACTTTAGACTCACACCTCAAAGTATGGGAGAAAGATCCAGATGAGACAGGAATTGAGAGACCTGCCCTGCCTAGGCAAAGTTATGACGCCCCTTCCCCACCTCCATCCCAGAAAAACAACCCTCCCCCACTACGGCTATTTTGGGAGCAGAGTGACAGCTGAGGGGCTGATAGGCTAGGACACACAGCAGCTGCCAAAGTCCCTCTGGAGACTTCCAGAAAAGTCTCTGCGGAGGGAGGAGAGCAGAGTGGAGGACGATCCCTTCTCTTCATACTTGTTCATAGTGCCTGCATTTGCTCCAAAGAGCCTGCTTTTGGAAAGCCCAGCAGGACTTGCTGACCTGTGAGTGTGGGCCGGGGGGTGGGGGGAGCTGCCGTTTGAGTGTGACTGTCCCTCCCTGCCTGCGTTGATGAATAAATTCAGTCCCCCACCTAGGGGGACTCCCTTGGATATGAGCTCTCCTCCTCTCCATCAGATCTCACTCTACTGGGACAAGGACTAGGTCAGACCTGGAATTCCCTGGGCTCAAGGGCTGTCGCCCACCTTCCTCTGATCCAGATCTCTCCCAGGACAAGAGGAGGCTCCCTTTTCAAAAGTAGCAATCACCATGGCGGAGGGCTCTCTCTGGGAGCCGGCCTTGCTTGATTCTCTGCAGCCAACTTTAAAAGGCTAGCCTCACGGAGAGACAGAAATCTCCTGGCCCTCAGTGTCTGCTCCCAGAGGGCAAGGATGCTGCTCAGGAACGTCCATCGCCATCCCAGGTACCTGGCTCTGCTCCGCTCACCTCTGTTCTCCCAGCACCTCCCATACATCTCAGAACACACCTGAAAGATACCAAAGAAAAGCCACAAACGGGGGCACACACGATAGCGTCTGCAAATAGAGCTGTGGTTTTAGAATGTGGATATACAGCTATGGGACCTCGGACAGGTCTCACTGGCCTGTTGAACAAAAGGCCCAACCCTAACACACGAGTTTGGTTGTTTCTCTCACCTTGTTTTCCAAGCTGGCTTCAGACTGACTTCAAACTTCGAGACTTAGGCAATTCACCACCTGAACAGCTGGAACCAAGTTGTGGATCACCATGTCCATCTTAACACACACTTTCTGAATGGTAAATGGGTGTGTGCGTGGGTAGATGGATTCCATGCTCTCGTGAGATCCCAAGCCTGGATCCTCGCTTGAGGTCCAAAGGCTGAGGTAATGTGACAAGGACCTCACTGCTGGCAGAGAGGCTTTGGTTCTGTAGCTTTTGGACCAAGGGATCCTGCATTCAACTCCTCATTCAGTAGTTCATTCCACAATCATTTCTTCTGTGTCTCCTATACACCAGGGGACGTGACTGATAATGAGGAATGCCGGAATGCGTGGAAAACACGGATCAAGAAGAACAATGTCCTAGGAAAGGCTTCCCTAAGTACGGGAAGTGAGAGTCTATGCAAAGTTTCTAGAACACTATCTGGAAAATGGGAGGACCAGGTGTGCCCTTTGGAGGCTTTTCCTCCGGCCATTCCATCTGCTAGGGGCTCTCCCTTTCTGATCTCCTTTAACTTTTATTAGTTTCTTATAAGCTCTGTATTCTTTCGACTTATGCATGAGGGGAACGGAGACTCAATTCTGTCCACCACAGTTCCAGGCAGAATAAACTGCCTATGGAAAAGGACGGATACAGGATGGGGCCACACCTGGAAAGAGCTCAGGAAAAAAAAAACGTCAAGACAGCTGGGCACGGTGGCTCATCCTGTAATGTCAGCATCCTGGGAGACACAGGCAAGAGGATCACGGAGTTCAAGGATGATTTAGGCTACACACCCAAAGCCTATCTCAATGTAATTAAATTAATTAATTAATGAAATAAAAACCACAAACCAAGCCAGGCGGTGGTGGCGTACGCCTTTGATCCCAGCACTCGGGAGGCAGAGGCAGGCAGATCTCTGAGTTCGAGACCAGCCTGGTCTATAGAGTGAGTTCCAGGACAGGCTCTAAAGCTACAGAGAAACCCTGTCTCGGAAAAAAAAAAAAAACCCACACACACAAACCAATCATTAAACCAATCATTAAGTAAAATTTCTGCCTCAAACCAAACCAATAGTTTCCTGGTTTGGATTCCCACCTCAGGAGAATAGGGGATGTTGCCTGGACCCTGATGGCGCTCTCAGCCTCCACCATTTCCCGCCCCTGTGAGATATGTGGGCCAATCAACTTCTTTGCGTTTTAGCTTCCCGTGATCTACTGAAGTTGACAAGACTCGCAGTTGTTAAGTGTGAAAGATCGCAGGAGGGATACAGTAGAAGGCGCGGAGACCTCCTGGTGACGCCACTTGCACGCCTGACTCTCTCCTCCGCACAGCAGAGGGCACTGTGGCCCGCGGCTGCCTGGCGACCCGATCTTGACGTTCCATCCCTCCGCCTCGCTTCTCCTCCACGTGGGGACGCAGGATGGCGGACGCTGTGGAGGTGGGAGTACACGCACAGGGCGGGGACGCGGGGTCTCCGCGTGGGGTCCCCAGGCCGGAGGGAGGCGGAGGGGGGGACTGACTGCCTCCCGGCTTGTTTCCGCAGGACGAGGCGGCGGCGGGCGACGTGCAGCGGCTGCTCGTGCAGTTCCAGGATGAGGGCGGCCAACTGCTGGGCTCCCCGTTCGACGTACCCGTAGACATCACGCCGGACAAGCTACAGCTCGTGTGCAACGCGCTGCTGGCCCAGGTGAGCACCCTGACGCGAAGCCGCAGGCGTTCCGTGGACCCTCCACTGCTCACCAACAGTGGGTGGCGTGGGTTGGCCCCTGGAAAACGGTTCTACACGCCGACCCACTGCGGACAAGCTGTGTTTTGAATTCAGCGGATGTAGTATTTCTTTGACTCGTTGTCACAGCCTAACATAAGTATCCCCATTTTACAGAGATGCCCAGCGGGATTAAATTATTCGCGTGGTGGTAGGCAGTAGTTGTTGGATTGAGCACTGGAGCCCAGATTGGTCTGACCAGACGCAAAATCTGTGCTCTTAACTTTTCTGCCAGTGTTACTAATGCTGCCCTGTGTTGAGGAGGAATGGCAGGCTGGTGGACCCCTGCCCTCTTACTCCACCAGACCTTGGTCTGCGTTTTTTAAATACCTCTTTGAATATTCGTTTTACAGGTGCAGCATAGTGTTGCACCTGTATATGAATGATGCTGTGTATCGACCAAAAAATACCAAAGACCTGAATTAATTGTCAGGGTTGGGTCTTTGAGCTAATTACTTATTTGCACTAAGCATTTTTTTGAAATCCACCAACTGGGGATATTAATGTTCACTTCGCTGTGTTCTGAGATGCAAAAAAAGGACTCCAAAATTCTGTGGGTGGCCTCGGGTTACTCATCGATGGTTTTAAAAGGCCGTGCTTGGTAGGGAATAGTGAGGTTATCCCAGGCAAGGTAGGTGGCAGAAGACCATCCGCCCACAGCTCAGTGGGGAGCTGGCTTCCCTCAGCGGAGGGCAGGTGCTCATCCTTCTGTGGCGGAGTTGCCATTTACTCCGTTTTTCTCGCCCTCAGGAGGAGCCCTTACCCCTTGCTTTCTACGTCCACGACGCTGAGATTGTGTCCTCCCTGGGGAAGACGCTGGAGTCCCAGTCTGTGGAGACCGAGAAAATCATAGACATCATCTACCAGCCCCAGGCTGTCTTCAGAGTCCGGGCTGTGACGCGGTGTACCAGCTCATTGGAGGGCCACAGCGAAGCCGTCATTTCTGTGGCCTTCAGCCCTACGGGAAAGTAAGGACATCAGCAGAATCATCGGGATGTAGAGGTGCAGCCTTTGCCTGGGGTGGACAGAGCCCTCCTGAGTTACAATCCATGGGGGTCGTAGGCTGCCTGTCATAGACCTTGAAGTCTGGTCTCAAATCGCAAGTAAGAAACTTTCTTAATAGGGTTTGATTCCCAAAGGCTAAGAATACCTGCCTGGAAAGAGATTGTGTTGGATCTCTGGAGAGTTGAACCATCCCTTTCCTTTTGATTTTTTTTTTTTTTTTTTTTTTTTTTTTTTTGGGGGGGACAGGGTTTCTCTGTGTAACAGCCCTAGCTGTTCCAGAATTCACACTGTAGACCAGACTGGCCTCGAACTCACAGAGATTCGCCTGCCTCTGTCTCTTGAGAGCTGGGATTAAAGGCGTGCGCCCCCACCGCCGCTGAGCTACCCCTTTCTTTTCAAGGTGTGTTACTTAAGTCAGATTCCTGCATGGTTCCTTCCCTGTGAAAATGAATCATTTCTTCTAGCTCATAACAGTTGAGCTGGGTGTGGCGGCCCATGCCTTCAGCCCCAGCAATTAGGGTGGTGGTACACACCTTTGATCTCAGCACCCAGGGGGTAGGTGAATCTCTGAGTTCAAGGCCAGCCTAGTCTACAAACTGAGCTGCTTCAGGACAGTCCAGGGCTACACAGAGAAACCCTGGGGGGGGGCATC